GTGCTGGAGTCAGGTGGGCCCCACTCGGATGAGGCTGATGTCCTTGTAAGAAGAGAAAACATGGACAAACAGGCACCAGGGTGCACGCCACACAGACTCACGGGGGCAGATGGCTGTGTGCCCGCCAAGGAGAGACGCCTGCAGCTGCAGAGCCGCCCTCACAGCCCCCAGGAGCAACGGCCCTGCCGACACCCCGATTTCCAGCTCCTAGCCTCCTGGGCTGAGAGCAAAGGCTCCGCTCTGTGACACTTGCTTAGAGCAGCCATAGCAGCGCTCACACCTGCAGCCCTGGGTTGCAGTGCTGACTTGGCCCCTCAGCCATTGCACGGTGTACACAGCGCACCTCCCCTCCAAGCCTCGGCCTGTCCACACAGCACTAGTCACTGCTTGGCACACAGTGGGCGCTCTGTAAATGTTTGCTGGGAGAATGACCAGGATAAGGGCATCCATCCTCCACGTGGCTAAGAGTGAGATGGGATGAAGGACAGGTTACACTCCAGGAACAAGGGCCCTAGACACTGGGGTGATGCTGCCTCAGCAGAGACACGGATGCTGGCTGCTGGGGCACAGCCTCCACCTGAACCTCTGGGAGGTGCTCCAGGCCAGCCAAGGTGGAGGGGCCAAGTTCTCCATTCAAGAAGCCAAGAACATCTCTTGAGTCCCCCTGAACCAGGCCCCCATGGGCCCTAGGATTAGGAAAGGAGAGTTACGGGGTGCTCGCTGTAGCCCGGGCCCACAGCTCAGGCTCCGCCACAGAGGCGTGAGGGAGGCAGGTTCAGTCAGGTGTCACAAAGAAGAGCAGCCTCCAGGCCTGGGCTGCCTGGAGGGGTGAGTCCGCATCCCTGCAGGTGTGTGAGAGGAGGTGAGGGCTGCGCTCTCAGGGACACCTGTGCTCCCACGGCAGGAGTCCCAACCTGACTGAGCACCAGATCCCTGGCTTCCCTCAGTGGCGCTGGGCCAGGCAGTCTAGGTAGACTCCTGAGGGCCCCTCTCCTAACCAGCACCCCGGGTAGTCCCGATGAAGAGCCAGGCTTGGGCGCCCTGGTGTTGAGCAGAATTCCATTTGGGGAGAGCTTTGATGGCAGTGTGTGGGGCAGGGCAGCATGTGGACAGGAAACAAGAGGGGCCAGGTGAGGTGTGGGGAGAGGAAGGCAAGCTGAGGCGGATGAGAGGAAAACCCCAGGACAGCTCCCCGCAGGTAGCAGGCGTGGGGGTGGGGGAGTGAAACGTATACATGGCATTCAAAGGAGCAGAAGCAGGTGGAGAGTCAGGGCAGACTTTCTAGAAGAGGTGGGATTTGCCGGTGACTAGGATGCAAGGGACACTCTAAACGGAGGCCAGGGAAGGCGAGCAGGAGCTGGAGCTGATGGAGGAGGAGCGAAGGGAGCAGTGGGTTTGAGCCAGTGGATGAAAGGCCTGAATACCAAGGAAGGAGGCTTTGTAGTGCCCGCCAACAGGGTTCAGGGGGGCCTGGGCTTCTCCAGCCTCACCAAAGGAGGCTCCCTATGGGGAAAAAAGGGTGAGCAGATCAGGCTCTGTAGCAGCAGCCCCTGTTCATGGGCCCTGGAGAACGTCACAGAATGACAGTGCCAACCACCGGGCCATTTGGGAGCAGTCAGGAGATGAGCGGGCGGCAGCTTCTCCAGGCTGGTAAATCCAGTACGTGCCTGCAAGGCTGGAGTAACAGGCCCACCAATGGGCAGGGAGCAGCCATCCAAGCAGTGAGGTCTAGACTCCTCCTCCATGTGACCTTGTCCAGGCTCAGAGGCTTGAAATCCCCTGGATTCTCACAACCCTGTATTTACATGCATAGTCCTGGCCTCTGCCCTCCGTGGCAGCCCTACCCCACCCCCCTCGGTCTGTGTAGCCTCTGCACATGGAGATTGGCATCTCATATGCGACTTCTAAACAGCCCTCCAAACCCACCCTCAGCCCCCTGCTGCCCAGCTCAGCCAAAGACTCCGCCACCCACCCGGCCCCCAGGCTCTGATCTCCCCCAGCACATACCCACTCCTCCAGAGCCGGCTCTCTCTGGATCAACAGTGGGACCTCCTAACTGCAGTGAGAGGGAGCCCAGGAGCCAGGAGTCAATGCCATTCCACCTCTAACTCAGACCCCACAAGCCCCACTCAGCCCCTCTTGGCTCCCTGCTGGCTGCTCCCAGCTGAGGCCCCAGCGGAGTCTACAGACCTCCAGGCCAGTTCTCTCCCCTCAAGGCTCTGCTCCAAGGGGCCCTCCCCAGCCACCTGCACAGATGCTCCCTGCATGCTCCCTGCTGCGCCTTATTTTCCTTCACAGCGCCTGTCAATTCCTAACCTTATCTGGTTTTTTTCTGTCTATGCTGTGGGTATTTAAGCTCTCTGAGGACAATGGCCTGGCCTACCTGATTCCCTGCATGGTGGGCACAGAGTTCCTGACATGGACCAGGTGCCCAGTAAGTGTGTGCTGAATGAACGTAAATGAGCCACTAATGAACGAATGACTTCATCAACCATTTGTGCAGCGCCTGGTGTATGCAGGGAAGGGGGAGGAGTTTGGGGAGCCCACGGGAAATCCCACCCAGTGTGGGAGCAGAGCAGGACAAAGAGATCTGCTCCAAGGAGGGGTGCAGGGGCAGGGCCAGAGGTCAGGGAAGCTCCCAGGAAAGGCCATCCCCAGCCTCCCTCCCCAGCTCTCCAGGGTGAGGGACATTTACCACTCCCCACCAGCTAGGCTGATTCAGGGGTCAGTAAGAGTTGAGGGGCAGGGGGGGTGTGTATACATCCCTGGCAGGAGGAGACCCGGCAGGGTCCACCCGCAAGAGGGGAGAGTGATTGCCTGCAAAGGACTGCAGTGAGCAAGAAGCAAGGGCTGTGGCATCTGGGAACACCAGCTTTGCCTGCCCCTTCCCCAGTCTCCCATCTGCCCCCTCCCCCCGCCCCCGCTGCTGACTGCACAGGAGCACGGAAGGAGCAGGTAAAGGAGGCAGGAGACACTTCTGAGCCTCCCAAAGTGCAGAGCTTTGTCAAGTCTCAGCTCCTTAGTGTGTCTCCAAGTCTCCTGTGACCAGCCCTGCTCCCTGCTAGGGCACAGTGATTCCCAAATACCTGCAAATTCTCTACCTCTATACCTTCGCTCAGGCTGGACCCGCCCCCAACCCCAAACCTCTCTGCCCACTCTAAGCCTCCGCGCATGGTCCTGCTCCGTGCTCCTAGTCAGCATTACTCATAATGGCAAACCGCTGGGAACCATCAAAATATACAGCAGAGCATTGGCTCAACATGCCCCGGCACACACAGGTTGGAACATTATGCTGCCATTAAAAATCACATCACAGAGGAGTATTTAATGATAAGGAATGATCTCGGTATAGTATTAAGCACAAACAGCAGGTTAGAAAACAGTAAGTACAGTTTGCTCCCAATTATGTGATAAATACATATTTTGTAAAAGACTGACAGGCAAAACACCCAAGCGTTCACATTTTCAACAGAGACACGTGTTTTCCCTTTTATAATCAGAAAAATAGAACATTTTCAAAGACTGCTCAAAGACGCTTGCAGCCTTCAAGGCTCAGCCCAAGAATCCCCTCATCCAAGCCCCCCGGCCTCCCGCCGAGAGGGGCCCTCCGCTGCCAGCTAGCCCTCTGCTCCCGCCTACTGAGCTTCCCCGCACCACAGTGACATCCACCTGGGTGGCAGGGAGGCAGTGGAGGCCTCCCAGTGAGGGTGGGGTCCTCCAGCACCTCCAGACAACTCCAACCACACCTTGTCTCCCCATCCCCCAGAAGCAATTACAGGTTAAACCAGAAGGGCTAATGAGCTGCTCATTCCACCATCTAGGACAAAATGACTAGCAGGAATAATCTGATGGCGATAACTGGACTTCAAAATGAGGCCTAGTGCTGGGGAACGAAATCCAGCCACTCAGCGTCCTGGTTGGGAGGACAGTGTTGGCTGAGCCTCAGCCACTACACCGTTGTCACCTAATTCTTTAGGAGAAGGTGTTCAAGGCCCAATGCCCCACTGAGTCGCTAGGTCTTTTTCCTCTGAAGATTCTAGAAGATGGCAGTTCAGCCTGCAGCCCAGCCAGCCCCCACCCCCAGCGCTCCTTCTATTTAGCAAAGACCTCTTGTGGATCACATCACCTGACGAGTATAGGGGATTGGCCCACATACTCGTCCAAGGGCACAAGCCAGTCCAGAGGTAGTCAAGCAGGATAGCAACCCAGTCTCCCCCCCTCCATCCCATATTCCCCTTCTTCAGGGCTAAATATAGTTTCTCCATGTTCCTTCTCATAGGGCACAGAGTGGGAGGGCCTGTAACCTCCCACATTCTGGGCATCCTGCTCCTAGTGATAGAGTCCAAGGGGCCATCTGTGCTGCTCACACAGAGCTAAGGTCACCTGATTGCCAGTACTTTCTCTCTCTCTCTCTCTCTCTCTCTCACACACACACACACACACACACACACACACACACACGCGCGCACACCTGAGGGGTGAGCCTCATCCTGCCCTGGAGGTGCCTGGACCCACATGCTGACTGTGGCTTGCAGCCCCATTAAACTCCACACATCAGAGACAGCGCCAGCCTCTTGACAGTTTCTTGGACCTTATCAACTCAGTTCACACATTCCCACTCCCTCCCTACCTGGAGTCACATGACACCTTCGGTCAACAAAGTGACAGAACCAAGGACAGAGTCTTCCACTCATCACTGGAGACCTCTCACACCACATGGGAACCAACTGAGGGTGCAGCCAAGAAACCAGACCCTCTGAGGCGCGCCCGGGCAGCTGAGCTAGCCACCAGAGCCGCACCATACCAAGGGCTGGCAGGGGTGGGTGCTGCCACCTCAGGCCACCGGGACTTGGCTGGTATGAGAACACAGGTGGGAAGGTCGCCACCAGAAAAACACCCCGCAGCGGCCTCCCTCTAGCCTCTCCCCTCAGGGACCCCGCACCCGTGGCCCCAGGCCCACACCACCCTATCTCTGCCCAGCAGCCCAGATGACTTCTTACCTCAGGGTGGGCAGGGTGAGGGCACGTAGCTGGGCCAGGGCTCAGCCTGGGCTTGGCTCAGTCACCCTCTCTGCTCATGGACACCAGAGCTGTCCTCGGGGGCTGTCGTGCAGGAGGCTGTGGGAGGAAGAGGAGAGGGCTGTCGGCCAGAGCAGGGGTGGGCAGCTCTGGGGAGCACCGGCGGCCGTGGACCCACAGGGGCGTGACCCCCGTTGGGCAACAAATGCAAATCACACATACACGCACTCTGCATGTACACACATGCATTTACTAGCGGACATTCACACACTAGCACTCACACACTCATGCACAAGCTCCCGCTCACTGGCATGCGCGCGCACGCACACACGCACACACACACCACTAGGTGGGGCTGCTGGGGTTCTGGGGAATGATGGGATTTGGGGTTCCTGACTTCTGACGACCTTCCCTCTCCCACTGGCTCTGTGACCTGGGGAAAGTCAATTCTGTGAGTCTCCCCTCCTTCCTCTCTGAGGCGGGAGACCGCCCCTCCCGCCAGGAATGCTGCCAAGTAAAAAGGGAGAAGGGACACGGAGCCTAGCTGGGGCCCAGCGCACAGCAGCTCTGCAGCCAGCACAGGGGGAGCCCGTCTTCCAGGCCCCGGAGGCAGCGTGGTCTGGCCGCTGAGAAGGGGTACACAGAGCACCAGGCCCGGGCCTGGGTCTCTTCCTCCAGGCTCCCCGAATCCCCACAGCTACTTCCCCTGACTCTCCTGGCTTATTCTTTGCTCAGTTATTCTCCCAGGGCAACACAGGACCCACCCCCCAGCCTCCACGACAAGAGAGGGCCCAGGGGGGAGGGGGCAGTGGGGGGGGGTGGGATCCTGTCTCCTTGGCCTCAAACCGACCTCAGCTGCAAGTCTGAGCAGGCAGCCACACTCCCCACTCTGGGGAGTGTGTGGCCCTGGGCAAACCTTCCTCACTCTCTAGGCCTCTCAGATAAAGAGCTGAGTCCCCTTCTGAGCTGTTGGAAGAGGTTCCAATGCCTCAGTGGTCCTCAAAGTGTGGCACACAGAGCCACAGGGGGTGCACCGGGGATTCCAGCAGACACACATTCTTATATTTGCAGGTATGTGTTTGTTTTTCTGTGTATTGAAAAAAATGACAGGCACACCAGAGCTGTGATTTCAACGATATGTGGCTTGGGGAGCACAGAGTAATCTACCTTGCGTCGTGAGTCAACACAAAGGGAAGGATTAAGAAAAGCAGGAGAGGGCCTCCCCGGTGGCGCAGCGGTTGAGCGCTGGGTTGCGAAGCTGCCCACGGCCTGTACAGCGCCGGTTCAATCCCCGGCTGCTCCCCGGCCACCGGAGGAGGGTCCCACATGGCGTGCAGACCTCTCCTGCCGCCCGCTGCTCCCCTCAGCAGTGTACTTCGGTCCTTCTGCCTGCTTTGCTCCCCGCTCTGGCTCTGGTGAATTCTCTCACCCTCCCGCGCTTCTGACTGTACCCAGTGCATGTATAAACAAAACAAACAAACAAACAAATAAATAAATAAAACTTGCCTCTATTTAAAAAAAAAAAAAATTTAAAAAAAAGAAAAGCAGGAGAGCAGGTGGTGCCCAGAGTGGCTACGATGTGATGGTGAAAGGGAAACGCGGTGAGTTGGCGTCTAACCACATGGGTTGCAAAGTTCTCCTCCAAGAAGGAGGCAGGAAAATGGGCACTGAGCAGATTCCAGGCCCCTCCTTGGCCCTCCCAAGCTGCCAACAGTGCAGAACCAGTAAGATGGCCTGTCCAGGCCACAGTTCTGCAGCCCCAGCTGAATCCCCTACTGCCAGTCCCCAGGTGTCTCCAATGGCTGCTGACCTAGGACAGGATGCAGTGGTGCCAGCCTACGCCAGCAGGGTAGCCAGAGTCCAGGCAGCTCCTTGGGCTGCGGTCCTCCCAGCCAGACCCTGCCAGGTGGGAGTGTCCTCAGTGGCGGCTCAACCTGGCTTCCGGTAGATTGGCACAAACCAACCAGGTGCTGGCCAGCCAGGCAGCCCTGTCCCTGGCAAGCCTCCAGTTCACTGGGCTGGCAGCCCTGGGCCCAGTGCTACCTGAGCTGGCAGGGCCAGCAGCCCACGGGACCACTCCAAGCCCCCAGCTGCCAGGTTCTAAGATAATGAATGGGCCTCCTATTCCCTTCTCCCACACCTTCCTCAAGCTCCCACTCTCCTCAGTGGCATCACAAGGAGTTGCTATGGAAATGAGACCACAGGCAGAGCATGACAATGATTTGGGGCAGGCGAGGAGACACGCTGGGAGCTGGGAGCTCTCCCGGACATGTGTCCCAGGAAGGACAGAAGCCCCCGCTGCCGGCCTCAGCCAAGGGGGGTAGTGGCACCACAGCAGAGGTGACAGCCTCCTCCCTGCCCCCTCGGTGGAGCCCAGGGATCTCTGGGAATGAGATGCCTATGTATTTAACAGAATTAGCACATTCCCCAGGGAATGCGAGACAACCACAGAAAACAGTTACTCCAAGATGCCGCCCACATGAGTCCAGAAATGCAGGGGGCTGGCACCCAGTAGGTGCACACGGTAGCCAAAGAAGATGGTACCAGTGTGTGTGTGAGTTGGCATGCGCCTGCGCCAAGCAACACACACACACAGAGCTTGAGAGGCCGGCGCCCATCGTACAGATGGGGAGATGCGTCCAGTGAGAGTCGAGGTCTCCCAACACGGCAGCCAGAGAGCCAAGCCCAGAACCCAGATCCCCTCGTCCCCAGACCTGAGCCCCTACCTGACACCCTGGCTTTTCAGTCAGTCATTCAGTTACACAGTCATTCATTCTATTCAGTAGGTGCCCACTGCATGCTTGCCAACTGGGCTAAAGAGCTGTAGAAGACAGTGCTCCTGCCCACCAGCAGCTCAGATTGGAGACAGGCCACCTTGGTCAGAGGGAAGGTGCTGGGACAGAAGTCCGGGGGCCACAGGAGCACGGGAAAGATTATGCGGAGATTTGGGTTGTTTCCGGGCCATGCTGCAGAGACCCCCAGGTTTCCCTGATTTGTCCTCCTCCTGCTCCTCGACCAAAGCCCACCCCTTGCCCCAACAGCCCCTACATGGAGGCCTCCAGTGTGGGGCAGGACTGAGCACACCTGGATCCCCCACCTCCCGCTGGTCACGGGGAGGAGACCCTGGCAGCACCCCAGCCCCAAGAAGTGAGGCTCCATGAGGAAAGTGCCTTGCTGCACAGAGGGAGTCCAAAGAAGCCTGGAGCCCGAGGCCGCTTGCCTGGGCTTAGCTCACTAGTGTCCATCACTCCTTCTTCCTACCGTGGGTGCCAGCTCTGCCCTGGCCTAGGTGGGGCGGAGAACGAGCGAACCGTCATTGTCATCACTCTCACAGAACTCGAGTCCCCATCTTTGTCGGCAGCACACAACTCCTCACCGGCAGTATTTGGGGGAGGGACACCTTGCAAGACCTACCAGCTCTGCTATACCCCACAAGGGCCATGCCTCCTAGCACCTGGTATAATCTCCCAGGATCCACTTAGCACATTTGGAAACTAAGACCCTGAGAAATGGCCAGCTGTACCCCAGGTTGCTCAGTGCTGAGAAAGCGGGACGAGGAAAGACCAATGAGGACAGAAAGAGAAGCCAGGTTCAGGGTTGTGGAAGTAGAGGAAGGAGCTACCTAGGAAGGCTTCCTGGTGGAGGAAGGAGCTGGACTGGCTCCGTCTGCCCTCAGGTTCCCGGAGGAAAATTCTCTGAGAGAGATAAATGAGCCAGGAGCGGCTCTGGGTCAGCCCACAGGACTTGGGGCGAGGCTAGCAGGTGGAGATGAGGGGGGCACATTGCCACCACTGCCGGTGGGAAACCAGTTGGGGGTGAGAAAACAGGAGAAACACAGAAAAGAGGGGCAGAGCAGAGGACACAGAGACAAAGCAACAGTAACCCCAAAGCCAGACAGGGAGAGGCAAAGATATGAAAATGAGCTGGCAGGCAAAGCAGCCCTCCCTCGCCCAGATATGGCTGCAGCTGCCAAGAGCAGACACACAGCTGGGGAGGAACCTACAAAGCAGGGTTTCACAAAGATTTTTCAGCAATAAAATTCTTATTTGAAATGAAATTTATGCAGTAGGGGAAGCCTTTCTATGCCAAACATTAAATCCAGAAGCCATAAAGCAAAAATTTGATAAATCCAACCATATAAACTCATAAAACATCTGTACAGCCAAAGACACTATAAACTAAGTTAGAAGGCAAGTGAGACACTGAAAGAAAAGACCACTAATATACAAAGAGTCCCGACAAGTCAATAAGAAAAAAGACAAAAAAAGAGAAAAGTTGGCAGGGATTTAGAAATTCACAGAGGAAAAACCGAATTGGCCAATAAAGGTATGAAAAGATGTTCCATCTCACCAGCAACCAGGGAAGTGCAAATGAAAACAACACCCTACCATTCCTTGCCCATCAGATTGGGAAAAATTTAAGTGATTGAGAACAACCAGCACTAGCAAGGATGTAGGGAAACGAGCCCACCTAGACTACTGGGGTGGGGGCTGGGAGGACATTAATTCAGCCTTTGAAAGGGTAATTTGGCAACACTGAATAACATTTAAACCCACACACACTACCACCTAGTAATCCCACTGCTAGGAGACTCCCCTGCAGAAATGATAGTACAGGCACCGGTACAAATACTCAAGGGCGCTCACAGCAGCATTGTTGGTACGAGTAAAAAGGAAATTGGAAATGGCCTAAATGTTTATCGATAAAGAAATGTGCAAATAAAATAGAGCACGTCTACGCTACAGAGCACTCTGCAGCCATTCGACAGAACGAAGCACATTGCTGCCTCACAATATGAAAAATTCAAGCTGTACAAGGCTATTTGAGAAGGAGACTACTTTTAGAAATAACAGTTTGTTGGAATCTGCCCCCAGAAGGCTGGGGGCCAATACTCCAGAGTTGCAGTGCTCTCCTGGGGGAAGGGAAGAGAAGAAGGCTTTTATGGTCTCCAGGATCTACAAGTATGTTGTCAGATCTTTTTTTGTAATCAGAAAACAAAATCAATAAAGAGTTAATGTTTTGGGCCTCCCTGGCGGCGCAAGGGGTTAAGATGCAGCACTATGAACCTATCTGCAGCCTCTGCAGCATGAGTTCCATCCCCAGCAGGCCAGGGAGCTACCCACATGGCACAGCAGACCTCTCCTGTCTCGCCCACTGCTCCCCTCAGCAGTGTATTTCAGTCAATCTGCCTGTTCTGCTCCCCACTCTGTCTCTGGTGAATCCTCTCACCCTCCTGCACCTCTGGCCTGTACCCCAGCTCTTGTATGCATAATAAATAAATCTTTAAAAAAAAGACTTAATTTTTTTTTTCTTTAAATGTCGCCTGAACCCTAACATAAAATGCAGATGTAAGCACCAGGAGCTGCCGTTGAAAGGGGAGGGGCCTCTCCAGCCCCACCCCGCCTCCCTAGCCCCCAGACCACTTCAGGGACACCAGAGCCTCAGGACCTATTTGAGAATTCCACCTGGAGAATGCAGAGCCCCTGCCTCAGCTCCCCCTTCCAGGCCATGGAGCAGAAGGTTGAGAAGGTCACACAGGCTGGATGGAGCTAAAGCCAGGACCCCTGGCTCCTCAGCTGGGCTCCAAGCCTCAGGGCTGGGGTGGAAGGCTTTCCTAGGTATCCAGGAACTCCTGGGACAGTCACAACCTTGGGTAGCCCTAGGCTAAGGGAAGGTGGGTGAGGCCAGGCGGGTGAGGCCAGCATGCAGGGGCCTTTGCAGAAAAGTTCAGGGGACAGTGCTTTGAGGCTCAGTTCTGGGCTTTCGCAGGGAGGAGACAGAGAGGGCAAGAGAAGGAAAGGTAACCGGAAGTTGGGGGTGAGTTTCTCTCTGTGCAAAGAAAGAGGGGGACAAGCCAGTGGGTGCAAGTAGAGGAAACTAGGGTGCTATGAAGGTGCACAGGGCTCACATGGGGGGCATGTGGGTCTCTGAACTCTGGAGAGGGTGTACAGGCAGGATGGCGTCTAGTCTGCGTGTGTGTGCTGAGGGAGAGGAGACCTCTGTGTGTAACCACCATGCACCTTGTATACCTGAGGCTGTGCACGTGTGTGCTCATGTGTGAAGGTGTGTGTGCCTGTATGTGTGTGTTAGGGCAGATGGGCAGCCAGCAGGCCTGGGAATAGTTCAACAGCAGGTGGCAAATTCCAAAGACCAGATCCCTTAAGAAAGGCCCTTCCCACTCGAGTCAGTCCACAGAATCAGAGAGCCTGAGGCCTCTCCCAGTTCCAGAAATTTCCCCTCCATTAACCACTGGTTTGTCTCCAGGTAGCTGGCTAAGTCCACCTGAGGTCCAGACGGGGAGCGATCAGCAAACTCCTGATAGGATGACACGCTCTGCCTGCCCAAGGCCCCAGTCTGCCCAGCTCCTGAGGGGCTCCCGTCCCCACCCACCTACTCTGCAGCGGCCAGGGGGAGGGTTCTGAAATGCACAACCAGCCCCAGGGCTGAGCTGTTGCACGTCCTTCTATGACTCCCAAGTGGTCCTGGCCCGCACCCCCTCCCAGGCCCACCAGGCCCCATAGGGCCTCTGCCCCACGGGTCCTCAGCCTCACGCCGGATCCCACACACTCCCATGACCACTTTGCTCAGACTGGGCAGCCAGACCCCCTTGACAGCCTCCAAGCCCTTGCACTTGGGGTCCCGCTGCAGCGATGCCCCCTCCTCCCTGATCCACTCGCAAAGTCCTCCCAGAGAGACACCGCCCTCTGCTGACCCCCCGCTGCAGATTGGGGTTGGGAGCCCTGCCCTGCGTCGCCCCTGCCCAACCCCAGCCTCCCAAGTTTTGAGTGCTGACAGGTGTGACTGCCCTGCCGGCAGGCGTGGGTCTTGTGCTTTCTGTACCCAGAGGCCAGCACAGCCTGGCACAGAAGGGCACAGGGACTACAGT